AGATACAGAGGCCAACTTATTTTTTTTAAATACAGACCTGCATTTTTTATTTCAGGTTTTGAAAGAACTCAGTCTCCTGAATACAATGATATGACCCACTTTATATTTTTTTTTTGTTTTGGGTACCTTAACAGCAACAAAACTATTTAATTATTATTTAAAATAATTTTAAGTCCGACTCTGGTTTCTTAAATTATTTAACCTGATTATATTCATCGCAACAGTATTGATCAGCGCTAAATAACATTGAATAAGGAAAATAGAGCCAATTAGAAGATTCAAATAAATAATATCCAGGTCAGAAATCTAAAGATATTACTATTAACTTTTTTTTATTGTGAATTTGAAATCTCAGTGTGCGATCTAATAATATGCATAATATTAATCGTAGTTGTTATAAATAAATCAACTTCTACAAATTAGTTTCTAATGTTATATATATATATATACTCCAGGGTTGTCGCAACTAACGTCGCATCCCCACGCCTAACCGCCACCTGTTACGATCAAGAAAATCTTCCTCTTCCAAGTTACGGTCCTCCATTGCCCTTCTGATGGCCTCATTCCAGGATCTTCTAGGCCGTCCTCTTTTCCTTTTTCCAGGAGGTGACCAGCTGTAGATACGGTAGGGCCATCTTTGGTGTTCCATGCGTAGCAAGTATCCAAACCACTTAAGGGCCCCTCTGTTCGACTCTATCCACTATTGTCTGTGTGTTTCTAATGTTATACATGTTGGAAAGGGTTACCACCTTTATTGTAAAAATTTATTTTCGGTTTAATAATTTTACTTATAGCTCTTTGAATTTTTTTTTATGCTTCCGAATGCATTTTGTACTCTTTATTGTAGATGTTGAGATAAATTGATTTCACTTTTACAAATGACGTCTAGTAATGTAGCCCCTTGGCGATAGGTCCAGGAACCTCGTAGGACATTATATTGCTCTACCATTTCCAATCCATCTTCCGGGAAAATTATTTGATTGTTTATATTATATTTATATTAATTATTTTAGTGCATTTGATTTTCCGTATTCAATGTTTTACCCCACAATGTTAAGTTTGAAAGCTTATCAATATTGTAACGATGAATAGATTAAATATTTAAAAAAACAGAGCCGGACTTGAAATTAGTTTAAATAAACTGTGTTCAAATGTCGAAACAAAAAAAATGTTAAGTGTGGCATAGCATTGTACTCACGAGACCGAGTTCTTTCAAAATCTGAAATAAAAAAATGCAAATCCGTAAATTAAGAGTTGGCCTCTGTCTGTATCTCACAAATTATCAGCTAATTTGAAAATCTAAAAATACTTTCAGATAGCCCTAAAGTGCTAAGAATGTGCAATTAGTTTTTTGATTTTCTAAAATGTAATGACAGGAAAAAATAAATTGGATTTTAAAAAAAAATCAGTTTTTTTCAATAAACTCAGCAATGCTTAAAATTTTTAAAACTTTTTTGATGGCATCTTGGTGAATATCCCAAAGCGGCAACTTTGCCCCAATTTAACCATGTTCGTATCTATTACGGGTAGATACCGAGATATCAATGCTCGTATACCTCGAATTTGTAGCACCCTGTATACAGTGTTCCAAAAACTTTGCATCAAATGGACATGTCAAAACAGTAATTTTGATGTATATAATGTGACGAAGTTCTGTCATGGCTGTAATTTGTAAGAATGCTGTTTAAAATAGGGGCAAACCTATGGGTGGGCGGCGAAGTGACGAAAAAAAATAGACCAGTAGGAGGACCAAACCTCCCCATTCCCTTAAAAAAAACCTAAGATGGTACAAATTTTCTCAAGTTGAGTTTCTTCTTTTTTGCCTTTTTATTTTTTATATGTAAACAGTAAAAGCGGACGGGCGCTAAAGGCAGGAGGGCGGAGGGGGGGGGTGGAAGTCGCCCCCTTCGCCCCACCCCTTGGGTACGCCACTGTCAAAGAGAAAGGTCATTCATAATTTTGAGACTCACGTGCCAATTTTTGAAGTGAAACTTCTTTACGCGTGCTGGGAGTAAAAATTCAAGGCCGTGACACACGAGCTAGCGTCATGACACGCATTACGAAAAGTGGTAAGCCAACGATGATGGGTCTTTGCAGCGTCGTAACTCGGGCCCTATGTGAGCTAGGGGGCTGAAACCCGGAATGTAGATGGGACTCAGTTAATCCCCATCTTTTCATATTTTGTCGATGTTTCTGCACTATGAAACCCCATCGTCAATGGAGAAAAAATCGTCCGATTTAAATGAAATTTGGTATGTCAATAGATTGGACCAAGGCCAATTTGACCGTGTACGACACGTGCAGTGGCGGACTAAGGGGGGGGGGCGGAAGAGGCGGTCCGCCCCGAGCCCCGTCTTTTAGGGGGCCTCCGAATCTTAATAAGTAATTTTTTATTCAACTGGCAAACAAGGCCAATATGTGTTCAGTAGTTATAAAGCAGTTTGTAGGTGGAGTATGCAAACCATACGTATACGCCAACTATAAACAGTATAAATTTTCATTTTCTATTTAGGAAATTAAATCAAGGTGTAATTTTCAGACTGAATTTATTTATTTTAACTTTTAAAAAAAAAAGTTATTTTTCAATGGTTTCAATATTTATTTTTACTGAATAAACATTTTAAATTACAACCAATGTTGTAATTTAACTTGCAGCATAACTTGTATTCTAGCTTCATTACTGATGAGCAGTGAAAGAAGTTTTTAGTATAACGGGGGCCATGGGTCTGAGACAGCGAAGGGGCCCCTCCAGGGGCCCCTCGGATCTTGGAGGACTTACAAAATGGCAATATTTTGTCGCGGTATTTCCCTGGAAGCATTTTTTAAGAAAAAAATATTTAAAATTTTTGGACGAAAAAAACTACCTGTCAAAAAAATTTGTACAGCTTAAAAGTCAAATTTAGTGATTATCACAGCCCCTGTGACAAAGAAAAGACATGTGGCTATCTATTTCAAAAATTAAATTGTTCAAATGTCGTATAATAATGGCGGTAGCTGTCATGGAATTGAGCGATTAAAAAATTATCATAAATATATTTTTTTTTCAAATGGAAACCCACTTTTTTTATTTCACTAGTGAAAGGGTTTTCCAATTCGTTACGTTTTAACTAGACATATTACTATACCTAAAATAAATCGTTTTTAAGTTATTTAAGATTTAGTTTGAAAACGTATATTTTTCTTGATTTTATCTAGCTTCCTTTGACATTAAGGTGCGTATTCATTATCCGAACGAACGAATGAAAGTGCGGTATATTTAGACGGGGACCGAACGCATGCGGCCGTTCGTTCGCTCGACCATCCGTTTCGAGTCGGTACATCAAAGGCGTTCGCCAACAAATGCCTCCGGTCTTCTCGTGCGGTTCTATATGGTTCTATCGTACGGTCCGCGTCCATACCACTAACGAATATTCGTTCGTTCGTTCGTTCGGATAATGAATACGCACCTTTAAGTGTCAAACAGTCAGTTATTTGAATTTCCTATATTATAACTATACATCTGCTTAAAAGTTTAAAAAGTGTACTTATATAAATAATATATCTTGTATTTTCGTTCTTTAGTGATATCTAATAGTTGATATTTTAATAATATACCGTAAGATCGAAAAAAAACAGCGCAAAGTTAGCTTGGAAATGATGATCGATAATATATATACTGTCATAGGCTTCTGGTTAAAATCACGAAATATATACGCTTTGAAGCTAAATCTTAAATAACTTAAAAACGATTTATTTTAGGTACAGGAACATGTACAGTCAAAAAGTAACAAATTTTAAAAACGAAAGTAACGAAAGCCTTTTCAGGAGTGAAATAAAAAAAGTGGATTTCCATTTGAAAAAAAATGATTTATGATAATTTTTTAATCGCTCAATTCCATGATAGCTGCGGCCATTATTATATGACATTCGGACAATTTAATTTTTGAAATAGATAGCCACATGTCTCTTTATGGTACAGTGGCTGTGGCAATCACTAAATTTGACGTTTAGGTTATATACATATTTTTGACAGTTTTTGGCAGTTTTTTTCCCTCCAAAAATTATAAATATTTTTTTTCTCAAAAACGGTTAACGTTAGGTATAGAGTGTTTAATATCAAAATTCATAAAATTTTACAGAGAATTTAAGTATGTAATAAAAAATGGGGTCACCCATTTAAAATAAGAAAGTTGCTGTCAACTTCCGGTACTTCCGAAAGTGCCGCCATATTGAAAATATTTTTAATCCATAGATCTCATTGTGAAACAATGATATGCACAAAATCTCGTATCTAGATATTGTAGTTTTCTAGAAACTTCTAACGCAGGCTCAACCTGGGACACCCTGTATAAATACTTGAATTTTGTCAACCATTATACATACGTCACTCAATTTTTACAAAATGTACATTAGAAGTATATCATTATCTAAACAGACCGGGGCCACATTTAGCTTCGCCGCTCCGGGCCCCCGACAGGCTTAGTCCGCCACTGGACACGTGTCACTTTGACAGTTAGTTTTAACTAAAAAAATGTCAAAAGTTGATGTCCGATTGCGACCAATTTTAGTGGGTAGGCTATGTGAGCGAAGGGGCACACGGTCCCACCCTGCAAAGATACGACGTTTCGTTTACATGTCCATCAGGGTGGGACTAAGGATTTGATATTGAAGAAAAATGTGGGTCAATTTTGGCATAATTGGGAACTGATTACAGGATGACGTCCTCGACGTTTCGAACCGATGCCTCTAAATGGACGAAATAATCAGGATTTTCTTAATTATGGGTCGATTGGAACCAAACTCAGCACGTGGATAGAGATACCGGAATTGAGTCCTCAGACGGAAGTAAGAAGTTTCACTTCAAATATGCGCACATAGCGCACACACACAATTTTTTTGGAATCAAAAACACATTTGTTATATTTAATATCATTTATTATAAGTATTTACAAGCAGTTCTTATTTAATATTCATATCAAATAAATTAAAAAGATATCTTACATTAAAATTAAACGTTTAACTTAAATTATCATTAATTTATTAACAATATAAGGAAAATTACAAAACGAAATCTAGATATTTATTTTCTCCTCTGGTTTCCGCCCATAGCCAGCATAGTTACAATTCTGATGAATATGTTGAGGGTATCCAAATAAATGGAAATTGAACTGCAATAAAAAAATATCTTAATTACCTATATATTAGCTTACTTCGGGTTTTTCTTATTACCGATTCTGAACCGTCCTAAAACTGTCATACGCATGGGTAGAAGGAAATATGAGACAATATTTTATCTGCACATGCACTGCAGATTTCAAGGACGTTTCAGAATCGGTAATAACACGAGACCGAAGAAAGCTATTAAAACTGAGCCAAGTTCAGATTTAAAGAAAAAAATCAAACATTAAATTTTATTTACACTGAATATTTCGTAAGCGTATCTTCAAAATTTCTATTATACTCTATCATTTTCCTTGGCCACTGCTAGATAACATTATAGCAATTCTTATGAAAATATTTAGCACGTCCATGTATATTTGAATTGCACTAGAAAAAGATTCTAATCAATTTTTTTGAAAAATCAAATTTTACCGAAATATTTCTACCAAAAAGAAACAACAACGAGAGAATGTAAGTAAATACCATTAGTATGAAGAGTCTAATAATGCGTCTAAATTTTTTCAAACGATTAAAAACTTATAGTCTAAGAGCTAGCAGCGTTTTCGAGAAAGTATTGTTACGGATTCCGTGGATCCACTAATTTAAACTCGCGATAAAATACTTAACGAATTTATTTGTTCTCACTCTGTACACGCAATTTATCATCAACATTTAGCTTATACCGTCCACTGCTGAACAAAAGCCTCCCTTAACTCTAGCCATTTCCTTCTATTTTGTGCCACTTGAATCCAGTTTCCAGCCACCCTCTTAATGTCATCTGTCCACCGACTAGGAGGTGGTCCTCTGCTTCTATAGGCCTCGTGTCTCGGTCTCCATTCCACAAGTCTCTTCGTCCACCGTCTTATCCTAGCCACATGTACTGCCCAATTCCATTTAAGATGCAAGACAGATATCACCGCATTTCTTACTCCTGTTTGATTTCATATTGTATAATTGAGTATTTTATCTCTGAGTGTAACTCCCAACATGGACCTTTCCATTCTCCGTTGCATGACCTGTATTCTATGTATGTTCTTCTTTGTCAAAGTAAGCGTTTCAGCTCCATACGTGAGGACAGGCAAGACACACTGGTTAAAGATCTTTCTTCTTAAACATATGGGAATATGAGATCCCAGTATATGCCTTAGTTTGCCGAATGCCGCCCACGACAAACCTATTCTTCGTAGAATTTCGTGGGTCTGATTATCCCTTCTAATACCGATCTCATGCACTAAGAATTTATATATATGCACCTGTTCCAAAGGTATGTTATTAATGTTTAAATTTCCACTCAGTACTATGTTTGTCATGTATTGTGTCTTTGACAAGTTAATTTTCAAACCGACTTTTTCCGAAGCATCATTCAGCATATCCAGCATATTCTGTGCCTCCTGTATGTTGTCTGTTATTAAAATAATGTCATCTGCAAAACAGAGATGATTTATCAATTTGCCATCGATATTAATTCCTGTTGAATCCCAGTTTATCATTTTTAACATACTTTCTAGCACAGCAACGAATAGTTTAGGGGACAGTGTGTCGCCGTGACACCATTTATACTGATTACAAAACGCAATTTATGCAACTACATTACTCTAACTGTTCTGGCACCTTCGCCAATTAACTCACAATTTAAAACGCGGTATTTTCAAACTTCAAACTGTAACTGCCAAGCGCGGGCCTTTATATACCCCTACTGACTGTTTCTCGAACCTTCTGTAATTTTCGATACTTTTCCGCCATCTACCAGTAAATTCTATTGTCTGATTCGCTTACTTGTCGACTTGATTAAGAGATGGCGCCTAAAAATGCCTTTTACTTTTTGGTGAATTCGCCATGTTTCTTGACACGTTGAGGCAATGTAGGCAACCAGCAATAGAGTTTAGCGCCACATACACCTTGACAGTATTTTATGAAAGCTGGATCTTTGATATATATTTTACTATGCTTTCTGGAACAGCATGCGGCCCATCTGGCTGCCGATACCCGTTGCGTTCACTACTGCGAATCGGAAGAAGATCGTGTATATATATTTTTTTATTTAGTCCGTTAAATTCTAGTATTGATTCGGGTTGGAAAATCAAACAAGTCTCCATAGCGTAGCGCGTAGAGTTTGCGACTACAAACCGAGGATTCAGAGTTCGAGACCGGGTCAGGGCAAAAGTGGTCCACTGGAAAAGCTTAAATTCGAAAATTGATAACCCGCCCCACCGTTTTTTAGATTCAATTTTCTGGCTGAACCGTGGGTCCCACGGAAAATTTTATGGAACAAAAAAGGAAGAGAATTAAATTCTCTACATTTTCATTTCTAAGTAACAACCTCTAAAACCTACGAGGACAAAGTTAGAAGGCGCCAAAGTCACTCAAACGCGCGCAACATTAACAGAGTTTGAAGTTAAAACATGTTGACAAGCAGTGTGGCAGTGCGTCATCGTATCCAACCAAACCAAACCAAACGCATGACGGATGCATGAAAATCCGCTTTGTCGTTTTAGTATTTTAAGAGAACAACTAGTCATCAGCGTCAATATCAAACTTTAATAAATAATGACCCAGCTCTAATATATATTTTTTTAAATTTAGGCAAACATAAAATATATGTATTTTAACCTACTAAAGGATAAAAAAAATTGTAATCTCATACCTGTTTATCGGATCATAAGGCCGTACACCGTGTAATTCAGGGTTCATTGGGTACCTTTCAGCTTGAGCTATAATTCTTTGAGTGTCGTACAATAAAAATGCGGAAAATAGCAAAAGTCCGCCATAGAGAGAAATTGAGTATAATCCAGCACCTAAAAAAATCAAGTAAAAATTAAACAAATACAATTTTAAAATAATTTATCTAAATTTCACAATAATTACCTAATGCTGTTGTTGGAGGCAAAAACATGGATCCAATGGAGCTGCAGAACACCACTCCTAAGCCCATGGCTAGTGGTCCACCCATATACAAAAATTTATCGCTAGGAGCACAAACCTGATAACATTAAATTAAATTACAGAACCTTACATTCAAAATAAAATGGAAATATAACTTACTGCAATAGTGCTCAATCCACCGACTACACCAGCTGTATACCATGCAGCTCTAATTAAAATTGGACCACCCAGTATACACAATGGTGCTATCATAGCACCCATGACGCTAGCATGTAATATCCAAGCCATTTGTTTGGGGCCGAAACCTATTATTGATAAAATTAAATATCATTGATATGGCTATAAACATTGAGTAAAATAAACTAATGCCCACTTGCACTGTTTGTATAAACTTTGTTTAAAGGCTAAACAGTGATTAACTATATAATATTTTATTATAGTTAATCACTGTTTAGTCTTTAAACAAAGTTTATACAAACGGTGCAAGTGGGCATAAGGAACAAGTAAAATATTGTCTTTATATCTTTGAATAAGAAGACTAAGGTATGAGCATATCAAAAATCTTAGGTCCACCGCGATGGGACGCAAATATGGCCGACTTAAATTCCGGTTTATCAGTGCCGTTCTAATTTAATTTAAAAAAACTAAAACTATGATGTAGGGTAGACGTGGGGTAGACTCAATAATTTGTTTTTTTATTTTACGTTGTGAATAAATGTTGGTAGTTATTACAATTGTTATAAAAACATATTATTATAATAAAAATAGATAATTTTTAATAATTATTTATTAACACAAACATCCGATACGCTACTGAAGCAGGTAAGTTAAATTGACGTATCTAAATTCTTTGACAAGTAGTAAATAAAAGCAAAAATGCAAGAAAAAAATATATAATTAGTTAATTTAAGTGAATTTCATAAATGATCGGTTTACTACACGTATGTATATTATATAGTCACTTACTAGCGAAAAGTTGTTCCATTATTTCACTCGATTTTTGCCGAGATCTACCGCACGCTACACAACCAACTATTTTAGAGTCTTTTTTCGATAAATCGCGATAGTGTCACTGTTAATTTAAGTTCTGCCACAATTTCCATCTAGATTTACTACCTTTATACAACTATCAGTAGTAGAATAAATAATAAATAACATAAAATAAGCTCCTTAAAGACTGACAAATCCACAAAATTTCAAATCAAATTCAAATGTGTCAAATGAATCGTCAAACAGAACTGTCAAGGATCCCCACCCTAGAGTCCTTTTTCCGCCCACCATGCACGAATACCTGGATAGCATTATGCTCCTTCCTTAGTATTCTTATTCAAAGCTTTATATTTATACATTAACCGCTTTGATGTCAGTTTTATTTGACATTTCTCTCAAATTTGAATATCTACGTGTGAATTCGCATTACGCAGGTTGTACTCTGTGTTTATTTATGATTTCTTGTTTACTTTATAATTGGCTTTATTTAAAGTGTATAAAACTGGAAAAACATTGTATCAGGACTTCTCAAAAACAATTAGTTTATAAATTTATTTTTAGTTTTATAAATTTATATTTTAGAAATTGACTTAGTTGACTCGTAGCGTTTCTGTATTTTTGTTATTAAATATTTATATTAACATATTTATTTTTTTAGAAATATATTTTTGATTACATTTAAATAATTACTAACTTTCGTTGACTCAGCGTACAGCTAAAAAAGCAAATTATTGAGTTTGCCCTACTTTATACCAGGTGTTTTTCAAAAATGGCTCGCCTTTATATTTGTTTTATTTTTTCAAATAAAAAACCAGATTTTGCAAAGTTGCATATGATATAAATTGGGATTGATTGACATGTTCAATTAATTTTGGTCATTTCCTGTTTCATCAGAAAATACTACAATTTTTGATTTTTAAATGATACCTTCAGCATTTTTTACTTCATTTGATAGAAAATAACATTCTGAATAGAATGGTATATCATATGTCAACTTTTGACATTTTCGCTTAGACGACAGTAACTGAAGTTTCAATCTAGAGTGCTATGGCTGTGTCAAAACCACTAATTTTTAATCCAGAAGTCTTGGAAAAATAGATTTGCTCATCTAATATTTTTCGTGTCTTTTCCTGGACAGTGAAAAGATACCCAAATTGTATTTTTAATCATAACTCAATTTTTTCAAATGGAACGAGGGTGGGTCATAACATATTTGGAAAAAGCGTTTTTTTATGAATAATTTGGTATCACATATGTGGTAGTTCGAGTCAAATTGTATTCAAATTTAACATACTTTTTTTTAAGCAAAAACGTCAAAAGTTGACATATGATATGTCATTCTATTCAGAATGTCCATTGTCTAACAAATAAAGTAAAAAAAATACCAAGACAACTATTTAAAAATCAGAAGTTGTAGTCATTTCCAGTGAAACTTTAAGTGACCAAAAACAATTGAATACGTCAATCAATCCCAATTTATGTCATATACTAACATACCAAATATCGTTTTTTTATTTGAAAAAGTAAAAAAGTTATAGGGGTGAGCCACTTTTGGGACGCACCCGGTATAACATGATCTTATTAATAACACTTTTTAGTATGAAAAAAAAGTCCAAAAAATTAAAACGCCACAGATAAACCAGGACTCAAATCAGAAGCCAGCCATATTAAAAAAAAACTTTGCATTATCGCTAATTTAGTTAATATATTGCTTCCTTACTCTTTTTATTCAATAGATTTACAGTTAGTTACCTGGGCTATATTCAATTCCCTGAGCAAGCATGCCAGTTCCAATAATAGCTGCCAAACTTACAGCAATGCCCTATATCAGATAAAACAGTATTAAACTAAATGTCTATAAATTTTATTAACATTAACTTACTATAAAACCATTTCTTGTTACCAAATTCATGACAGCTGGAGATCTAAATGCTGCCGCTGCACTGGCAGCAGTAACAGCAATCGAGCTTCCAAAATACATATATGTTGTTTTAATACGATCTTTCACATATTGTGGCCACATACTACAAATGTAATAAAACAATTATTTACTAATTTACTGCCATTATACAGGGTGACAGATTGTTCCCAAAAAGTTCCGTTTAAGCTTTTTCGGAATAAAAAAATGTCTTTTCACTAAGGATATTTAGTGAAAAACAAAATTAGAAATGTTTGTGCGCTAAGATTCAACAGAAACAGTTTTATTATATAATCTTTCTAGGAAAAATTAGTTTAAAAAAATTTCTTGTCTTAACGCACAAAATACATATAGATGGCGCCACCTACTGTAGGAGTGATACTGACATTGAAATAGAATTTCTCATATCAAAAAACACCCAGACACCAATTTTAATCCAAATAAAGACATTAGTTCAGGAATTATTTAAAACAAATTAAATTTCTGCACCCTGTATCTCAGAAACTAAGTTTTCCGGTTACAATTCGGACCATCCTGTATAAAAAACTACTCAGTACATGTCATATGACATAATGATATTTTGAAACAGGAAAAATAAGATTAGAAAAAACTGAGCTAAAAAATATACAGACACTATAACTTTTGTGTAAAAATATATCCGAATGTAATCATCTACAAAAACATTTTTAAAATTAACTCTTCTATTGCCAGTACATTTTACAAAGAAGTTTACAGTGAAAATCTCAAACAGAATACCAGATATAAAACTTTTTTGGAACACCAAATTAACATATAAATAAATCAACTCACTGTGCTTGATCTAAAGTACTGGCACCATGACCAGAAGCAACGCCATAATAACAAAGCGCTCCAATGCCAACAACTGATGCACCAGCTACGGCACCTTTTCCAAGACTGAAAGCTGTAATGTTCCACAATTAGTTATTATTTACTATTTTTTAGTATCATCAGATATAAAAAAGTGTACAAACCTGTCTCTCCAGCAGGTGCCATAGCCTTTTCCTTCAAAGTAGCCTTACGCCTGGCTTCTCTAGCCAGGGCATCTCTGCCTTCATTTGCATATGTTCGTGTAAAAGCACGAGCTGGTAGTTGCTTTATAAAGCTTCTTTTTATAGCAGGCGCTTGACAAATTCTGCTTGCCAACATTAATGCCATGATGAAATGATTCCTCCTAGAAAAGGCATAAAATATTATAAAAATATATGTGGATATATTATTACAAAAATTGTGCAAACTTACTGACTACCAAACACAAATACAAAACTTGCCTACTCGTAATTCTTAAATACCAGTTATTTGAAAAACTTAGTGCACATAAACTTACCAGAAACTATATGAAAATTATGAAAACTAACAATTTTGAGAATAAATTTTGACTTACCAACTGACTTGTTTTGATTTTGTTTAAAAAGCTCGACGAGTGTCAAATCTCGTTAGGATCAAATTCTAGAACAAACACAAAATGAGAAGACCAAACGATTATAAACGTAAACTTTACGAAAAAATCACAAGTTACTTTAGAAATGCAGCACCATGCACAATAAAAATTAGGTAATTTTCCGGTCTGTCCTGTCTTATTTACCTTTATTTAGGAAATTTTCCAGAAAAAAATAGAAGAATTAACTTCTTACCTTCTCATTTATGTTTTACTAGTTGCCTATATATAGGAAAAGTGACATTTATTTTTTAGGTTAGAATGCGAAATATTTATGAAGTTTCGTACGTGACCAAAAGATTAGTGGAACGTTGTTGATTGTTTTCCGAATTTATCACCCTTATTTTTGTTTTAAAATTAATTTCAGTGATAATAGATCATCCTATTTGTTCACCAGCCGTGTGTCACCTCGAGTGTGTGAGTACGACGAGCCGGTGTTCAAATAAAATTCAGTTTCTTTGCTACGTGACTGGTGAGCGTGTTCAGTTACAATGGCTGGTAAGTGCATTTATTAATTAATTACCTTGTTATTTTTAATTGTTTTAATTACTATGTCTATCTGTTATGTTAATAGATTTAAAATATTCTACGTAAACTTGTTTTTTTCTATCACAAAATGACACAAGGTTCATCATTTTAATGTGAATATTTGAAAATATTCATTAAAAAAATCAAAAGCACTTATAAACAACTAAAATCTAATGTAAATATATGTTGATTTATTACTAGAGTGCTAAGTGTATTGTCAACAATTGTTAGGAGAAATTATACAATAAAATGTTTGAATAATGCAAAGGTGCATTATTATTGTTTGTGATCATATTTACTCTTAATATTTGTTTAATTATTACTCAATCTTATTATTAAAATCTTATCTTTTATTACAGGCAGCAATCCATACAATAAATTTTTGAAAACCTTAAGTTCGGGTGGAAAAGAATACAACTACTATGATATATCTGTATTAGGAAAACAGTACAGTATGTATTAATATTAAATTTAACTTATCAATGATTTAGAGTAGATTTTTTCTATAATAATATTTTTCTAGACCGTTTACCTTACTCCATTCGTATTCTTCTGGAATCAGCTGTTAGAAATTGTGATAATTTTTCCGTAAAAGAACAAGATGTTGAAAATATTCTTAACTGGGAAACCAATCAAACCCATGAAGAAGGCATTGAAGTGCCGTTTAAGCCTGCAAGAGTTATTTTACAAGTAAGCTAACTAAATTTACCTTATTCCAATTAACTAGAAAATATATATTATAGGATTTTACTGGTGTACCTGCGGTAGTTGACTTTGCTGCAATGAGGGATGCAGTTAAAAACTTAGGAGGAGATCCTGAGAAGATTAATCCCATTTGCCCTGCTGATCTTGTTATTGACCATTCTGTTCAAGTTGATTTTGCTAGATCGTATGTTTCATATTGCATGTAGTTATTATATTAATGGTTGTCTAAATTTCAGGGAAGATGCGCTGCAGAAAAATCAAGACTTGGAATTTGAGAGGAACAAGGAAAGATTTATGTTTTTAAAAGTAAGAATTTAATTAATATTACGTTACAAAATATGCTAAAGTATTTGTTTACAGTGGGGAGCAAGAGCTTTTGATAATATGCTAATTGTGCCTCCGGGAAGTGGTATTGTGCATCAAGTCAACTTAGAATATTTGGCCAGGGTTGTGTTTACAGGCAAAGAAACACCAATTTTATATCCAGACACTGTTGTAAGTAAAGTTAAAAAAAATATAGAATATTTAAGGAGTATCTTACGAAATCTATCATTTGAACAATTATTAATGTTTTTAAAAACTTCTTTTAATGAAATATTTTTAGATTGGTACATGCTTTATCTTGTCAAAACATATTTTTCTTATGGTTTCTTATATTTGTTGACATATATTTATTTTAAAATGTTGTTTGTTGTCATAACGAATTATCTATCTTATATCTTTATATAAAGAGTTTTAAGCATGTTTTATAAGCTGGTTTTATGTAACTATATCTTTAACAATTTAATGCCATAATTCTTTTATCTAAAATTATTAACTTTGATATAAAAAAGGCAATAGTTATGATCAGTTGTTTGTTTACTATATCTATTAAAGACAATGAGTTCAGGGCAATAGGGATTTTTTAAAATAAAAATTGTATTTATTTTATTAGCTTTATTTATATTTATTATTTTTATCATGTATTTAAAGATTAATTACAAAATACATACAAAGAGTTATCTATTTATAAAATTAAGGAGGCAATGACTATCAGAGATTTATATATTTTATTTTTATCTTAATTTATAAAAAAAAATATTTGTTTTAAACTAATCAAGTCAATTAATTCGTATCTTTTAAATTTCAAAGGTTAGATAAACTATTAAGAGTCACAAAACATGTGACATATTTCTACAAACACGTTTAGTTGGACTAATCTTAAACGTTTTTTAATAAAAAAAATTGTGTGTGTACTATGTGTGCATATTTGAAGTGAACTTCTTGCTTCCGTCTGTCCGTGTGAGGATTTCATTCGGGTACCTCTATTCACGTGCCGAGTTTGGTTCCAATCGACTCATAATTTAAAAAAATCCTGATGATTTCATCCATTCAGAAGGGCGTCATTTTGTAGCCTGTCCCCAATTATACCGAAATTGAGCCACATTTTTCTTCAATATCAGATCGTTAGTCCCAGCCTGATGAAGATGTAAATGAAATGTGGTATCCAACTTTGCGGGGGTGGAACCGTGTGCACCGTCGCACAGTAGTTCCCCCATAGTTCCCCTTAATTAGCTGCGCGGTCATAACTGTTAGATATCTAGATATAGCTGGACTGCATCTTTTTTAATAATTGATAACAAATGCTAAATAAATGTATATAAAAAACTTAATGTAATATGTATTAAAAAAATTGGGCCCAGTTCGTGTGATTTGCATTTTAAGTTCTAACTATTCGGAAAGGTATACAGATTATGTTTGCACATATGTACAGGGTGGGTCAAATTCGACGCTTTTAAATGGAAACACCCTTTTCTATAGGAGATAGACGAAAACTAATATCAGTGTCTGGAACTCAATTTTCATCAAAAACATGATGGTGAAAACCGCACATCAATATCTGTTACCGTTTCGGTGTTACGGGGTGTTTTTCAAAAATGTGCATTTTTAACAAATAGCTGTAACTTTTTTGCCATGAAAACAATTTGCACTTTTTTACGTAGAATTTAATGGTGTAAGTATAATTTTTTTAAAATTAATAATTTAAGAGTTATCAACAGAAAACTTGATATTTTATTTGGGACACCCTCTATATTTTTAATTAACTGAAAAGAATTTAAAATTACCTTTCCAAAAATATAGCACACTTAATATTTTGTTATAATCCCCTTCGAAATACTGAATTTTAAAAGTTCGCCACTTTTAACTAGTAGGCTTTGACTAGTAGGCCTTATTGATAATATGTCCTTAATGGAACTCGAAAATATATTTTTCCAGCAAGACGACGCACCACCTCTGAACGCTGAAGTTATCAGCAAATTTTTGCAGCCAATTTCAGGAATAATTGAATAGCTAACCAAGATCCCAGCCGTTGGCCGTCGAGGCCGCCTGACTTATAGTGCCCATGGATCTATTCTTATGGATATATTTGCGGAAGAATAAAGGTTCCTTATTCTTCCCTATAATCTAGACAAGAATTAGAAATACTTAGCAGTTATGAGAGGGTATCTTTCACCCCTACCGAGTTAATGAATTCCGCTAGAAATGTTCAAAAACTGCCTCGTCTGTCCATAACAGAAGACGGTCGATATGTCGAACACCTCAAGTAGCAAAATCTCATGTCTTGGTTTGCTATTTATTTGTATTGTTATTAGATATAGTTTAAATGTGTTGATGTTGGTTAAATATATTTTACATTTTTATAAAATTCATCTCTCATAGCAAATATTATTTTCGTTTTAATTGATGCTCATAGCTAGAATTTTTTGCATTACAGCCGGTGCCGTTCAAAGCCTAATTATTTAAAGCGGGCGAATTTTTATATACTCTATATCTCGGAGAGGAATCGAGCAAAATATCAAGTGTGTTATATTTTTGGAAAGGTAATTTTAAATTCTTTTTAATAAATTAAAAATATACAGGGTGTCCCATATAAGAAATCAAATTTTCTGTTGATAATTCTTAAATTATTAATTTAAAAAAAATTATACTTAAACCATTAAATTCTACGTAAAAAGATGCTTTGAAAATGTTTTCCTAAAAATACATAATTTTCCATAGCAAAAAAGTTACAGCGATTTGTTAAAAATGCATATTTTTGAAAAACACCGCGTAACTCCGAAACGGTAACAAATATCGATATGCGGTTTTCACCATCATGTTTTTGGCAGAAATTGAGCTCCAGACACCGATATTAGTTTTTGTCTATCTCCTATAGAAAAGGGTGTTTCCATTTAAAAGCGTCGAATTTGACCCACCCTGTACATGTTTTTTTCATATTGAAGAGGTCAAATTTATTTTAAATGTTGAAAAAATAAAAGAGATAGTTGTTTCATTTTATAAATACAATTTTATTGTCAATTGATATACAGTGTGTCTACGAAATAAGTTGACACGAAGAGGAAAAAATAAGTTACTTTTATTTTAAGACAAAAAGTCAATCTTTAAGATCTGGCGACAATTAGCGGCAGCCAACAAATATTATCATGCCGTTTAAGAGGATTTGAAAGGGAAAGTAGTTAAAAGTCTTAAAGAGTGAGAAGCAAAAATGTAAAAATACTATTTTTGTTGCCTTCAAATAAATTGCCATAAACTAATATTACTTAGGTTTAATTAAGGGCAAAAAAGAAAAAAACAGTTCTTTTTACCTTCTTTTCGAACGTCCATTACAGAAAAGGCAACAGCTTTTATAAATTTTAATAAAATAAGTAATTAATTGGCGTTATCTGAAAACTGTTTATGTCAGCTTGATACCAGTAGCAAAAATGTGACATTTCTAATAAAAAAGCGCTACACTAGGTTTACTTGATTTTGTTATTTATTATGTATCGTTTACAGGGGGATATAAGAAAAGTATTAGCAACAGTTTCATGCAAAAATTTTGAAATTAATATTTCTAAGTAATGACCTATCTGGGAACCACTGTGCGTCGCTCACATAGCCTACCCAACAAATTTACACGTCAAACGCATTTTTACGTCAAAACTAACTGTCACAGCGACACATACACGGTCACGTTGGCCTTGGTCAACTATCGACATACCAAATTTCGTTTAAATCGGACGATTTTTTGATTTGATTTATTGATGATGGAGTTTCGTACTGCACGAAACGTCGTCATAATATCATGAAAAGATGGGGCTCTTCGATTCCCATCTACATTCCGAGTTTCAGCTTCCTACCTCCCATAGGGCCCGAGTTGCGACGCTCCAAGATCGTTACCACTTTTCCTCTCGCGTCTCGTGTGTCGCGGCCTTGAATTTTTACTCCCATCGCGGGTAAAGAAGTTTCACTTCAAAAATGATGATTAACCAGCTTTCGAAATCAACCAAATTGTTAGAAGACTCTACACTTAACGTTTTACCTGTTAATCTTACTTGTTCAGGCGAAACGTTCAAGTAAAACAATAGACATTAACAGAATTAAGATCATATAGAGAAATGACGGGATCATTCAATTTTCCCACGAAAGTGTCGTTTTGCCTACACTGAAAAAGATATATAAGTAAATATAAAAACAATAATATGGACTAATATATTATGATAAATCTAATATTTTTGCATAGTTTCACAAAATAATGTAATTTTACAAAATTGCTTAGAGATATTTAATAATTATTACCAAACGATACTAGTTTCACAATTAGCTTTGCGTTTTTATAAATGAAATTTTAGCCGTAAATACATTTTGTAGTTAAATTCCACGTTTTTTAAACTTCACTAAACGCTATAATAATTGATAAAGCTACAGGTAAAACTTTTTTACTTCAAACAGTTTATACCCTAGTTTTTACTCTGTCTTACATGACAGGTAAGTCGTTGTCTAGACGGGGCTAAGACGGAAGGCCGTCTATCAACCGTCTATATCAAGTCTATATATCATCTATATCAAACTGCCATCTTTTTTCTAGACGGTCTTCCGTTTTAACTGTCAGGTAAGGTAAAAGTTATGTGTAGACGAGGCTTTAAATGGCCATTTTATTTTTTTATACAGGGCGTTTCAAAAAACTTGTGCCATCTCTCGTGGGGAGATACCTCGCGTAAAAATAAGATTTATTTTTCATATCAACGTATGTCCGATTCTGCTTTGATTCGTAACTACAGGGTGTTAAAATCTTAATATTTTTTTGATTTATTATAATTTTTTTTCCAAGTACTTTTAGCATTTCGAGTGAAATTTTGATGGTAAAAATGACTGTAAATGCGACATATTTTAAAGCTAAAAAAGTGTCGACATATTCAACAGGGACGTGCATATGGGTTGTCACTGGAATATTTTTTCTAAAAAAGGAATGTACGCTGCTGACTTTTTCTCTTGTTAGCGAAATAGTGTAAGCAATTTAATGCCGATTAAAAGTTGTCTCTTGCTATTTTGTCGATTTCGGCCTTCTTGATGAGATAAACGCAATTTTATTAATTTGCCTTGATCCAAGTCTAATAGCAACCTTTAAAAAAATAATATCATTAACTTGCCAAAGTTTTAAATAAGTACTCATTGATTCCTCATCAAGAAATATGAAAAAAAGTTCTTATAAACATGGGTATGGAAATGCATAGTTTTCAAGTTACAGGATGTTAAAACTTTTTAAAATTAGGGTTTTTGTAATTATCTTAAATACCATTATTTTTTTATTTGAAATTGCTGTATGTTGGACTAATAAGTAATTATAACTGGTAGTAATATTTAATAATAAATTAAGTAAAATATATTATTTGTTAATTTTATTAATTATTGTGATTAATATAATTGCGTTTATCTCATCAAGGAGGCCGAATTCGACAAAATATTAAGAGGTAACTTTTAATTGGCATTAAACCGCCTACAGAATTTTGGTATCAAAAGAAAAACCAGTGGCGCACATGCTTTTTTTTGAAAAATATTCCATTGATAACCCATATGCACGTCCCTGATGAATTTATTGACACGTTTTATTATATTAAATTATTCTTCATTAAAATATGTAGCACTTATAGTCATTTTTGCCATCAAAATTTCATTCAAATCACTAAAATAACTTGGAAGAAAATTATAATAAATCAAAAGATTATTAAGACTTGCGCCCTGTAGCTACGAAACAAGGCAAAATCGGACCTATGTTGATATGAAAAATAAGTCTTATTTGTACTTGAGGAATCTTCCCACGAGAGATGGCACATGTTTTTTGAAACACCATATACAGGGTTGTTCACCACATACGACACGGAGTATTGTAGCTAAACGATTAGATTTTTACAAATTGTAAGTTTTGGGTTCGTTGAAGGACTATTAGAGCTACAATTTAAAAATATTTTTATAAGATACAGAGTGTCCCAAATAAATAAAAAATATCAAAGTTGTATTTTTTTAAATGGAACACCCTGTATATTATTACATTTTTAGTTTCTACGATTAAAATAAAGGTCACTTCATAAAGGTTTATTACACTTAAACCTTACCGTTTTTGAAATATTTTCAATTTTGTAAAATTGAAGTCAAAATTTTAAGGCTTCATTTCTCCAAGGGTATCAAAGTTTTTAATACTAAATATTTACTGAAGTTTATTTATTGATCAGTTATTGTGTTGCAATAATAAAAATTATACTACCTTATACAGAGTGTCTAAAATTTTATTTTAAATAATTACTAGTTTCAAACGGCAATAACTTGTTTAATTTAAATAGAACACCCTGTATATTTTATGAGACTCAGATGCACAATTTAATTGTCTATCAAATTGTATTACGCCATTTTTTACTTATCGCTTGAAGTTTCCGTAGAAAATGCATTTTCTTGTAATTTTAAATTCATTTATCAATATACCCATGGAATACTGACATTTTAGATTATTTTTAAAGATGTACCAAATTTTAGTAGAGTAGAGATACTAATATTGTCGATATAGTTTGTTTATTTCATTAAAAAATAAAAAAAAACTGTTTAAATATTTGTTATAGAGGACCAATTAATATGATTCCAGTATTCAAACTACATTAATTGACTGTTTGTGTTGATTAATAATAATTGGTCCAAATATTAAAAAACTTAATTTTTTATGTGTATTAGACAGTGTGGTAAAAAGTAACACTTTAAAAATGATATTTCGTTTTTGGCAAATGCTTATTTATAACAACAGAGACATCCATTTTTATAACTAATTATTATATTGATTTCTGATTCCAAATCCACATTTATTTAGAATAATTTATTAACGAACATAATTAAGTATGTAATTAATTAGTATTTGGGCGGAAATAATGGTGGTATATTATTTAATCGATATACCCTTTTATAAAGATTTAAATAGTTTCTTTTTGCATACAAATGGGCTAGTAATATTATCATTTTGCTAAAAACGATAATATTACAAGCCCGTACATTTTGTTCATTTGTTGCTTTAAAAACAATTTAAAATGTCAATATTCCATAAATGAGGTCTAAATTATAAGAAAATGCATTTTCTACGAAATCTTGAAGGGATGGGTAAAAAGTGGTATAATACAATTTGATAGACGATTAAATTATGCATCTGATTCTCCTAAAATATACAGGGCGTTCTATTTAAATTAAACAAGTTATTGCCGTTTAAAGCTAGTAATTATTTAAAATAAAATTTTAGACCCTCTGTATAAGGTAGTATAATTTTTATTATTGCAACACAATAACTGATCAATAAATAAACTTCAGTAAATATTTCGTATTAAAAACTTTGATACCCTTGGAGAAATGAAGCCTTAAAATTTTGACTGCAATTTCAAAAAATTGAAAATATTTCAAGAACGGTAAGGTTTAAGTGTAATAAACCTTAATCAAATTGACCTTTATTTTAATCGTAGAAACTAAAAATGTAATAATATACAGGGTGTTCCATTTAAAAAAATACAACTTTGATATTTTTTATTTATTTGGGACACTCTGTATCTTGTAAAAATATTTTTAAATTGTAGCTCTAATAGTCCTTCAACGAACCCCAAACTTACAATTTGTAAAAATCTAATAATTTAGCTACAATACTCCGTGTCGTATGTGGTGAACAACCCTGTATATTGTGATTTGGCTATACCCTGTCGGCAACAGATGGGTTACTGTACTTAGATGTCTAGGAGCGAATCGTTATGGCGATCTTGTAAATCGAAGAGAGAATAGGAAGTGTTTATTACATAACCACTCAGGGGCGGATACAGGAATTTATTTTAGGGGGGCCCAAAGAAAAGTAACGTAGAATATGCTTATTAGGGCGCCATTTTTAACCCAAAAGGCTAATATTTAACCAAACTTAGAGATTTTAGGTGGGGGGGCATGGGCCTTTATATGGACCACCGCCTTGTGACAATAGAATAATGCGAAGGGGCTCCATCTTGCTGAAAGTGTATGATTAAGAGTTATAATAAATTTCTTTGTACCAACTTTTTTCTCTCGCAATGGTTCATGGATATAAAAATAATTCATTCTATTGATTTTGAGACGTTTTGACATTTTTGTTTTATTTTTAGGCTCTATTTTTTTCGTTCTTTTTTATGACAGTCGTTCAGCATTTTTTATACGCTTTCCAAAGAGGTGTCACAAGTGGGGTATCGCTATCTTGAGGTTAGAAGTGAGGGGGTGGCATCTAGGGGTGGGTCGGGGTAGTTTGAAAAAAAACTCATTTAGCTGGGTCCCAATTTATAACTTATGCTGAAAAAATCACTTTTCTCATTAATGTCCACCTAATTGTTCGTGTAAGGGGTAGTTTTTCAATTTCACCCTAAAAATTTTATGATCATCGTTTAGCATTTTTTATGGGCTTTCCAAAAAGGCGCCACAAGTGGGATGTTGCCATTTAAGATTTTCAAGTGAGTAGTTGTGCCGCATTAGGTCGGTCGGGGTGGTTCAAAAAATACGTCATATGTATTCCCCCTCGATATTATAGAAACGGTATTTTTTATTTTTTTGATATCTTTTTTGGTTTAAAAATTATAGCCATTGTAAGTTTTCAGTAGCCCACCCTGTATATTTTTCTTCATTTAATATAAATAGGCATATTAGGGTGCTCGGTGGCGTAGAGGTACAGGCTCTCGTCTACCAATCTGAAGGTAGTGGGTTCGATTCCCACACCCGGCATTTCATCAGCCGACTGTTTTTATTAAAATAAAAAATAGTTTGGGTACCTAGTAGTATATAGTACCTAGGTCGACTATATAGTACCTAGGTCGACTCAGCCTTAAATGAGTACTTGGGATTCGCAATCCTGAGGTAATAATAGGCGGTTGAAGCGTAGTGCTAGCCACATTACCTTCCTTGTATACCGAATGGCTCTAGTATGGCAAGCTGTACCTTGCTACTCTCAAGGCGTTAAACGCTATATACGGGAGCTATTATAATATAAATATTTATTACTATTATCATGTAAATTGTTGTATTGAAATGTTTTAAAACACTAACAACGTTATTCAGGTTGGTACAGACTCCCATACCACCATGATCAATGGATTAGGTGTATTAGGCTGGGGTGTAGGAGGTATTGAAGCAGAAGCTGTCATGCTGGGACAGTCCATAACTATGTTATTACCACAAGTAGTTGGCTATAGACTTCATGGCGCTTTAGGACAATACGTCACTTCGACAGATTTAGTTTTAACAATTACAAAGGTAATTTTGTAGTATTTTTTTTTCATTTTGGCACTAAAAGATGAATATTTTCAGCACTTGAGGCAGTTGGGTGTAGTGGGTAAATTTGTGGAATTTTATGGTCCAGGCGTTTCAGCACTGTCCATTGCTGATCGCGCTACCATCTCTAATATGTGTCCCGAATATGGCGCTACTGTAGGATTCTTTCCTGTTGATGAGAACTCTTTGATTTATTTACGCCAAACAAGTAAGGAATTATAATAAATGAGTATTAAGAATTATTGGTTAAACACACTGAATAAAAGTGTAAAGCCTCATTCAGAACCTTGAAATTAGTGGATTTAATTAGCATAGAAGTTTGTTCCTCTAATTTCATTGCAAGCATTCACAAAATTAGTGGTAGTCATTTTCAATTAGTGGCACTATTTTCACTTAGTGGAAGAAACAAACTTTTAACTTTTACCACTGATTAAACTTCAAAATTTGCAGTCATTGTCATTTTGGCCTTTGATTATCATCCGTCCAAAGAATGTGTGGTTAGAAACAAAAAAATTATTGTTTTATAAGCTAATTATTAGGCTCTCTAAGGAAGCTGTTGCTAGAATATTCTTTTAATTTTAATTGTATTTTGGTAGGCATTGTGAATGATAGTAAACTTTTAAGTGGAAAGTATAATTGAAACCACTAATTTCGAGGTTCTGAATGAAGCTGAACTAAACACGTTTAAATTTTTCCACTAATTATACTTCAAAATTTTCAATAATAAAAAGTACCGAAAACCTCAACCCTATCAAAAAAATTGTCAAGTCAAACAAGCTGTCAAGTGAAAAGTCAAACATATCTAACAAAAATGAGGTTTCTTCAAAAAAGACTTTTGAGCTTTTTGACCACTAGGGTGAAAATCTACAAAATAAAATAGTTAGTTTTTGTAAACATCGCTGCGTTGATTCAACGGGTAGCAATTTGTCGGTGGTATTTACTAATAAAACAAATTTGCCTAATGGACAAAAAATGCTTAACGTTCTTACTTATAAGAATAGAGTATTTAGCCCCTGTTTAAGTCATTTATTCAATGCTTGTAACTTTTTTAGGCTATTTTCTTTATTTACAATTTTAATTTTTCCGTATTAGATCGACCTGAGGAACAAGTACAATTAATCGAATCGTACCTGCGAGTTACAAAGCAACTGAGAAACTACGCGGCTGAGGAGGAAGACCCGATATTCAGCGAAACGGTCACTTTGGATTTATCCACCGTAGTATCGTCTGTGAGCGGACCTAAGAGGCCAAACGACAGGGTGTCGGTTGCTGAAATGAAGTCGGATTTCTTGAACTGCCTCAGCAATAAGGTAAATACAATGATGGACAAAGAAATGGGCTTATTCGATAATTTAATAACGTAGTTTGAACCCATTTGACCATACTTATTTATTATTAAGTGTTTTTTACTGCAATATTACTTATACAAAGTCTTGCAATAATGCGTCGGGATGTGCCTGTAGCTCCTGTAAAAAAGAACTTAGAAATTTTGTTTAAGTGTATACCTAAAGGATGTACTAGGGCCTATTTCAGGAAAATATTTTAACTTCTACAGGGTGGCTCAAAAAAGTGTGAGTGTATCGGGATGGTTTTTTTACTGGAACAATTGAAATAAAAACTACTGATCTGTACATACTTTTTTATAAATATCGTAATCTTAAATCATACCCAGTCTTCAAAATTCCATGCCAAACTTTCTAAAATATAAAAAAATATTTCTCCGTTTTTTATGGATCACCCTGTATACTATTTTTTGTTAAATGGAGAATTAAAAAATGAAATGAATTTTTTTTGTATTCCTGCTACTTTAACATTTTTAACGGTTTTGGAGATACTCGCGTTATACAGTATGTCTTCGGATTGTCTTTACAAGAGGAAAAACTTTTTTATTATTGGCATTTTGAGAAAAATTAATTCTTCATAAAAAATTTTGCTTGTTCTAAAACAGTTAACCCCGTTTATGCTTTTCCAAATATCCATATTGTTTTAGAGAAAATTAGAAAATACAAAGTCCTAAAAATAAAAAGGCGTTTCTATGGTAATATAATTTCGATTTCATTCTTTGATAGATGGTTATTATTATATTTAATTTATTATTCATTTTGATTAACGTCATATTTTTTGCTGTTAAAGTATCACGTTTTCCGATAATTACTACTACCCTTTCCGTAGCATTGAACTAAGTAATCTTTGTGCTTCTTTAACATCTTAAAACAGCCAAAAATATGACGTTAATTAAAATTTCAGCAACAATAATCTATCAAAGAATGAAAACGAAATTATGTTACCATAGAAACGCGTTTTGATTTTTAGGATTTAGAAAAAAATAACTATATTTTCATATTTTTTCTAATTTTCTTTAAAATGGTATGAAAATTTAGTTTGGTTAAAGTATAAACGGAATTAACCATTTCAGAACAAGCAAAATTTTTTATGAAGAATGCATTTTTCTCAAAATCTCAATAATAAAAAAGTTTTTCCTCTTGTAAAGACAATCTGGAGACATACTGTATAATTTTATAATTTTAATTAAACAAAATTTCTTCTAATTTCGTTTAAACCCTAGACTGTATCTCGCAACCTCGTGTGTCACCATATGTATCACGCCCTTGAATTTTTATTCCCAGCGCGCGTCTTTACCCTTTTCGTCTCGCTAGCTCGTGTATCACGGCCTTGATTTGTTACTCCCAGCGAAGAAGTTTCGCTTCAAAAATAAATTTGATGATGGTTCCAGAAAAACGAAATGTCGTAGTGATTTTTCACGTCGCCAAAAGAAGCTAAAAAGGTTTCTTTGCGGACGATTTTATAAACTTTTTCTAACTGTCAAAAAAAAACCTGAAATTTAAGTTTTCCGCCATATTTCCGGAAATGACAAAGATATGTTTATTTATAGTCTATAAAATGCAATGACTAATGAATATAAGGACATGTAACGCCCCTATACGGGCTGCAGCAGAATTTGTGACCTTAGACGCCTTTTCTTTTCGTGGCAAACAATGAGTCATCAGTTGGTCATCAGCGACAATTTTAGCAAATTTTAATAGTTCGTGTGTAGTGAACTTTGGATAAACTTTATTACAATGCTGATTAGTTGTTCAGCTTTCAATTGTAAAAACAGCAGTGACAAGAAAGAGCCAGGAGTTACGGTTCATAGGTAAATAAACAGTCCGCTCCACCTTTTTAGCGTTTTCTTAAGTTTTCTTATTGAATTCGATAATTATTTTTCTGATATTATATGTACTTGATGTGTGCTATACGTCGATACTAGTTTTATACCTTTAGTTAACATTTTAATACGTTTTTTTCGTAATTAATTAGTATGATGCCACCGCCTACACCATAGGCGTAGTCAAAACATTTATCAAAAATATGAATATCCCTTCAACTAGCTAAGTTAAGAAAAAAATATGGCCACGGCACTGTTTGGTGCCATGGTAACAATTTGCTCTTGGGTGTTATTTGTCTTTGAATTCTTTAGCCATTGATAAAATGAATAACTTTGAATTTTAACTGCTATTTTTTACCAACATGGCAAATATAAAATCCCTCTGTCAAAATAGTTACTGATATTCTTTAAATTGAGTGCCTCTCTTTTTACTTTCGTGAAATAGAAAAGGAAAATAATAAAACAAGTGACACTTCTTCCTCTTCTTGCAAAAATCAACACGAAATGTCATAATTGTCAAAAGTAAAATGTCATCAGCTTTTGACATTTCTAAATATCAGACAACAAAGAAAAATGCATTGCCGCCAGTTGCTAACCTAATAAAATTAACACTAGAAAAGCCCGCGGGAACTGTCAAATTCAAAGTTATTCGTTTCACAGACTATACTAAAATGATTATCATATTGTGCTCATCGACAGGCAAGTTTGTCCCAATATGATCCACCCTGTGTCTCTTACCGTTTCCGAGATCCCAGTGGTAAGTGGAGAGTATGAAAGACCTGGTATATCATGATATAAGCATATCGAATTTTCACACTGTTTTAAAGGGTCGTAAAAAGGCCCAGTGATGATTTTCGACACAACACCAACTGAACCATTTACAACCATTCAAAATGTGTCACTGTATGCCATATACCATTTTGAATAACTGCATAACTAATACATCCTCTGATAATGTTAGCAAATAAAGATAACTGTTATTTGCTATTGAAAAGAATATACTATTTGACTATTGTACCAGTTTAAATAGAATTTCCGAATACATTGAAATGTCAAAACCATAAAGCTTCGTTTAGAACCTTGAAATTAGTGGAATAAATTAGTGGTTTCAATTATACTTGAAATTTCATTCAGAACCTCGCAATTAGTGGAATAAATTAGTGGTTTGAATTAGCGTAGAAGTTTGTTCCTTTAATTTCAATTTAAGCATTCAGAACGTCAAAATTATTGGTAGACATTTTCAATTAGTAGAAAAAGTTATCAAACTTTTAACTTTTCCACTAATTATGCTTCAAAATTTGCGAGGAATGCCATTTTGGCCTTTGATTATCACCCTTCAAGAAAAAATTTGGTTAGAAATCAAAACTTTATTGTTTTATAAGCTAAATATTATGCTTTCTCTATGGATACAACAGACTACCGCAAGCTGTTGCTAGGATATTTTATTAATTTTAATTATGTTTTTTGGACATCGTGAATGATCGTAAACTAAAAAGTATAAAGTGTAATTGAAACCACTAATTTATTCCACTAATTGGGAGGTTCTGAATGAAGCTTTACTACCACTAATTTTGTCGTTCGGGATGCTTACTTCTACGCTAATTGAAACCACTAATTTTGACGTTCTGAATGAAGCTATTAAGTAGTTATTACAGTACGTCTGTCCGTTCTGTAGCTACGGGGTATCCGTGAGAGGGGAAACGATATTCTCTCGATGTTTTTCGTAAAAAAAATAGACGACGCGTCCCATCAATAAAAATTCAACAAATTTGCAAGCAGCCAATAAAATGAGTGGGCGGAGGGATTTGCGGTGACGCACTCGTCAAATCGACGTATAAAATATATTGCTGTTTATTTAAATGTTTTTTGTTCGCATTCCTTTCATAGACACAGATCCAGCAGATGCACTGTAAGTAGTATTCCACTAATATTATATAATTTTTTAATTAAACCGTTGCTATGATATCGAGCGGTTGTTTTTAGTCATATATGTATATATTTTACCGTCTCTTAAGCCCCTTCTACATATAACGTTTTAACTGTCAGTCTTAGCTGTTCCTTCAAAACGTATCGAGTAAAACTCCGAGTATACGAAAAAACGATTCGTTTTGCCTAAATTATACAGGGTGTCCCAGAAATAAGTGCAAGTATTATAACTGGTAGTATAGTACTACCCCAGAAACACGCCTATGAGGTTTTTTTCTAGAAAAAAATTATTGGATTTTTTTTTAGTTTTTAGTTAAAAAACACCATTTCTTGATAATATGGCAACATAGGTAGTAGATTAAATTTAAAAGAAAGAAAATCCAGAAAAGATCAAGTGGTTCCCAAAATTTGAGCAAAAAAATATTTTTTTTAGTAAAATAACTCTGTTATTTCGAACTTATTTGGAAAACGATAAAGAGAAAATATGTTTATTTTATCGAGATCTACCACCCCTTAAAATACTTGCACTTATTTCTGGGACACCCTGTATAACGGGATTATTCAGTTTTTCAACAAAACTGTCATTTTGTATACAACCGCAAAAATTAAATTTTAGTAAATTTTCAAGAAATAATTAGAGTGAGGCAAAAAAACTAATCTATGGAATTTATAGGTTAAAAGGAACCTAATAACCCGGAAAAAAATATCCCTGGAAGGCATGATTTTTAGCTCAATTTTAAAAGTTCTCAGTAAACATTCAAAGTTTTCCATTTAAATAACACGTAAAAAAATCTGTTTCCATTAAAAGTAACATAACTTTGAAACGGTTTATGATAAAAAAAATTTACGTCGCAGATTCTTGTAGAGCATAAAATTTCCTAAAAAAATCTATCAGAGTAATCTAGCTTTTTTGCTAAATATGAAAATTGTTAATCAATAAACACTAAAACTGCATATTTTGATTTTTTTCGCTTTTCAAAGTTTTCAAATATACGAATAATTGAATTGGAAAAAAATATTCTCAGATAGATTTTTTAGAAAAGTTTATAATCTACAAGAATCCGTGATGTAAATGTTTTTTTGTCATACGCTCCCAAAAACAGCTATTTTACGGACTCATTTCAGTCCGTAAAATGTTTCTTTTTCGGCCTAGGCCGTAAAGGTCGTCATGGCAACCTTTATGGACTAAAATGTCTAAATTCGTTATTTGGTTGTTTT